ATGCTGTAATACTGACACTCAGTGGCTGAATGTCTCCTTGCCATAGGAACTCTGCTATACTAAAGTTTCTATCTGCCAAACCCAGCTCTGATGAAGAAGGGAGCACCCTTCGAAACGCATTAGCTTGTATCCCCCCCCCCCCCTTTGGATTTACCTCTATCTGACTTGATGCAGCTTCTAATGCACATTGCGAGAAGCTTAGAGTGTGTGTTGAAATCAGAGTAAGCCATTTCATTTCAGGAAAGGAGCCAGTACAACTGGGCAAGACTGAAGGGAAGGCTAGAGTTCAGGAGTGGGTACAACTATGCAAGACTGAAGGGAAGGCTGAAGTTCAGGAGCTGGTACAACTGGGCAAGACTATAGGGAAGGCTGGAGTTCAGGAGCGAGTACAATTGTGCAAGACTGAAGGGAAGGTTGGAGTTCAGGAGCGAGTACATTTGTGCAAGACTGAAGGGAAGTCTGGAGTTCAGGAGCCAGTACAACTGGGCAAGACTGAAGGGAAGGCTGAAGTTCAGGAGTGGGTACAACTGGGCAAGACTGAAGAGAAGGCTGGAGTTCAGGAGCGAGTACAATTGTGCAAGACTGAAGGGAAGGCTGGAGTTCAGGAGCGAGTACAATTGTGCAAGACAGAAGGGAAGACTGGAGTTCAGGAGCGAGTACAATTGTGCAAGACAGAAGAGAAGACTGGAGTTCAGGAGCCAGTACAACTGGGCAAGACTGAAGAGAAGGCTGGAGTTCAGGAGCGAGTACAATTGTGCAAGACTGAGGGAAGGCTGGAGTTCAGGAGCAAGTACAACTGTGCAAGACTGAAGGGAAGGTTGAAGTTCAGGAGCAAATACATTTGTGCAAGACTGAATGGAAGTCTGGAGTTCAGTAGCCGGTACAACTGTGCAAGACTGAAGGGAAGGCTGGAGTTCAGGAGTGGGTACAACTGTGCAAGACTGAAGGGAAGGCTGAAGTTCAGGAGCCGGTACAACTGTGCAAGACTGAAGGGAAGGCTGAAGTTCAGGAGCCGGTACAACTGGGCAAGACTGAAGAGAAGGCTGGAGTTCAGGAGCGAGTACAATTGTGCAAGACTGAAGGGAATGCTGGAGTTCAGGAGCCAGTACAACTGGGCAAGACTGAAGAGAAGGCTGGAGTTCAGGAGCGAGTACAATTGTGCAAGACTGCAGGGAAGGCCGGTGTAAGGGACCGCCCGGTGGTACCACTAGCACTCCGTTGATCGGTCGTCCCCCCAGCGCACGGAGTCTAAGCCCCAGGATACTTGTTCACCAGAGCCCCTGATGGTGGGGATGGACTTGGAGTACCCCGGGACCAGGTCGTGACTACTGAGGACACCCGTCAGTGGTAGGGGTATTCGCCAGTGGCTCCCACGGGAGAGAGCCAGGTATGAGGAGGTCTGGAGACCCCGTCGAGAGGGATGGATGGATGGATGGATGGCTGAGCAAGTGCAAGGTCAGACAAGCCGGGTCGGTAACTATGGGGACGGTGCGGTACAGAGAGCAGCGGGCAAAGAATAGTCGGGTCACACGCCAGGTCAGCAACAGCAGGTCAGATCCAACAGGGGGCATTCAGGAGAGAGGTCAGGCAAGCAAGGGTCAAAACAGGAGAAAGCAGCAAGGTCAGGGCACAATCCGGGTCAGCAACTTACTATAACAGGTTCACAGGTTCACAGGATACAAGGAGACCAGAAGGCACTGAATGACAGCTCAGGGCCGTTTAAATATCCTGCCCTGCGCTGTCATTGGTGCCAGGCACGCGCCCGCGGTCTCTACTGCGCATGCGCGAACTTGATTGCTGCGGTCAGCCAGGTCCCGGCGCCCGCGTCCCTGCACAGGGCGGTGCACTGCGCCTGCGCCGAGCCCAGCGCCGCGGCGATCCCCGACAGCTGGAGTTCAGGAGCGAGTACAACTGGACAAGACTGAAGGGAAGGCTGGAGTTCGGTAGCTGGTACAACTGTGCAAGACTGAAGGGAAGGCTGGAGTTCAGGAGCCGGTACAACTGTGCAAGACTGAAGGGAAGGCTGGAGTTCAGGAACCTGTAGAACTGGGCAAGACTGAAGGGAAGTCTGGAGTTCAGTAGTCGGTACAACTGTGCAAGACTGAAAGGAAGGCTGGAGTTCAGCTTTAAACATCTTCACGTGTGTTCCCAAGAGAAATGAATAACTGTCACTCAACAAGAAGCCATTCAGAAATCTGAATATTCGGTAATAAATTATTATATCAAGCATTGTGGAAATGCAGAGCAAAGCAGAACAATCGGGTGAATGAATGCCATCAGCTGTGTTGAATCTGCTTATTTTTAATTACCAGTTTTGCTCTTAAGCTGAACATAATACACTTCACAATATAGCTTTTTTCTGCACAAAAGCAATGCTGATTCCTTAATACCGAAAAGTTCAATTATAAGAAGTTTCAAAGGAAGCAGAATTATCGAATGTGAGGGGTGAAGTTTATAAAAAATAAACTCCAGGAAGATTTGCCTCACAAAGGCAGTTTTTTGTTCCCTTTTATTCCCTTCTCTGTTCTGATGATTAGCCATAGAAGAGAGTCAATGGGGAAAATTCACTAAAAAAATATGACCCCAAATGGCAGAGAGCAGTCCTGTTATATATACTCCCCAGTAGTGTGCTTATGAGGTACCCAGCCCTGTACATTAATCTGTTTCCATCCTGTAAATAAGTATACTGTACATCCAACATATATACATTGAGGACCTAATAGCCAGACCTAGTGGAATAATATTATTTTTAATATAGAGGTTTTATAATTGCCAACAGTTTGGGAAGCGCTTTAAAATATACAGGGAAACAATAAAGTTACAATACAATATTACACAAAAGGGTTAAGAGGGCCCTTCTCATAAGAGCTTATCTAATAAACTCTAATGAGCAAGTAACATTAATAGATAATGGCCACAAGTGGCCAACATACTGGCCAATAGAGCAGTGCATTGGAACAGTGGTAGTCTTCAGATCTAACACGTAAAAAAATGGATAAATAATGGACAGGTGAACATTGAAAAGAAATGCATCATCAGCTGATATTACATAGAATACATATACAAAACAAATTAGTTAAACAAAAGAAAAAAACATTTTTTGTTACAAAACAAAATCACCTAAATTGGACAACAATAATGAATCAAACATAAAATATATTTAAATAAATGAAATAAATACAATTGCTTGAGTTTGCAGTCGTATTTTTGAACGCAATACACTTGCGTTCAGGAGTAGATTTTATCAGCGTTTCAAACGCCAAACGCGTGTAAACACGGCTGTCAGGGCTCCCAGGTGTGACCAGAGGTGTGTGACTGAAGCAGGGAAACGCAGACTTCAGATATGTGATTAACAATGTAATTTATTAACACTAACAATACAAACATAAACGCAGTGCAATACAAAACATAATACAGTGCAAACAAACCCAACCAACCACCCACAGATAACAGTACATACAAGCAAGCGTCGTCAGGCAGGCCGAGTCAATATCAATTGGGCAGGTAGGTACAGGGGGAGCAAGCGGAGAATGGTCGGGGTCACAGGCCAGGTTCAGCAGGTAGCAAGCAGCGTAGTACAGAGGGTCAGGCAGAGGGATGGTCAGGGTCACAAGCCAGGGATCAGAACAGGTAGCAAGCAGCGTAGTACAGAGGGTCAGGCAGAGGGATGGTCAGGGTCACAAGCCAGGGATCAGAACAGGTAGCAAAGGAACAGAAACAGGATGCAGGACAGATACAGGGCCCAGGACAAACACAACACCAAGGCAGAGTCTGCAAGTCTGGCCATCCCTTAAATACACCAGTATCATCAGTTCCAGGTGTTAGCTGGCTGAAAGGTTTGAGTCTCTGATTGCTGGGAGCACCCGCTGGCCAGCCCTGGTACTGCAGATCAAAAGGCAGGTGAGTCCCACCATTGCTGGCCAGTCCATTCCTGACAGTACCCCCCCCCTCAAGGAGCGGCCTCAGGACGCTCCAAACAGTCCTAGCTGGGAAAAATGTTCCACCGCCCGGGTCTGGTAACTGGCGGGATATCAAAGACTGGCACACCGGGCAGGACTCCGGGGCAGCGGTACACCGGGCAGAGGCACACCGGGCTGGACTCCGGGCAGAGGCACACCGGGCTGGACTCCGGGCAGAGGCACACCGGGCTGGACTCCGGGCAGAGGCACACCGGGCTGGACTCCGGGCAGAGGCACATCGGGCTGGACTCCGGGCAGAGGCACATCGGGCTGGACTCCGGGCAGAGGCACATCGGGCTGGACTCCGGGCAGAGGCACACCGGGCAGAGGCACATCGGGCTGGACTCCGGGCAGAGGCACATCGGGCTGGACTCCCGGGCAGAGGCACATCGGGCAGGACTCCGGGCAGAGGCACATCGGGCAGGACCCCGGGCAGAGGCACATCGGGCTACCAGGCGAAGCGGCAGGCAGCGGGCCACCGGGCGGAGCGGCAGGCACCGGGCCCCCGGGCGGAGCGGCAGGCACTGGGCCCCCAGGTGGGGCGACAGGCCTCGGGCCCCCGGGCGGGGCGACAGGCCTCGGGCCCCCGGGCGGGGCGACAGGCATCGGGCCCCCAGGCGGAACTACAGGTCTCGGGCCCTCAGGCGGAGCGGCGGGTGCCGGACCCCCAGATGGAGCGACAGGCCTCGGGCCCCCAGGCGGGGCGACAGGCATCGGACCCCCAGGCGGGGCGACAGGCATCGGACCCCCAGGCGGGGCGACAGGCATCGGACCCCCAGGCGGGGCGACAGGCATCGGACCCCCAGGCGGGGCGACAGGCATCGGACCCCCAGGGGGGAGACAGGCATCGGGCCCCCAGGCGGGGCGGCGGGGCGGCGGGCGCCGGACCCCCAGGCGGAACTACAGGCCTCGGGCCGTCAGGCGGAGCGGCGGGCGCCGGACCCCCGGGTGGAGCGACAGGTCTCGTGCCCTCAGGCGGAGCGGCGGGCGCCGGACCCCCAGGCGGAGCGACAGGCATCGGGCCCCCAGGCGGGGCGACAGGCATCGGGCCCCCAGGCGGGGCGACAGGCATTGGGCCCCCAGGCGGGGCGACAGGCATTGGGCCCCCAGGGGGGCGACAGGCATCGGGCCCCCAGGCGGGGCAGGCGGGCGCCGGACCCCCAGGCGGAACTACAGGTCTCGGGCCCTCAGGCGGAGCGGTGGGGCGCCGGACCCCCGGGTGGAGCGACAGGTCTCGGGCCCTCAGGCGGAGCGGCGGGCGCCGGACCCCCAGGTGGAGCGACAGGTCTCGGGCCCCCAGGTGGAGCGACAGGTCTCGGGCCCTCAGGCGGAGCGGCGGGCGCCGGACCCCCAGGTGGAGCGACAGGTCTCGGGCCCTCAGGCGGAGCGGCGGGCGCCGGACCCCCAGGTGGAGCGACAGGTCTCGGGCCCTCAGGCGGAGCGGCGGGTGCCGGACCCCCAGGTGGAGCGACAGGTCTCGGGCCCTCAGGCGGAGCGGCGGGCGCCGGACCCCCAGGTGGAGCGACAGGTCTCGGGCCCTCAGGCGGAGCGGCGGGCGCCGGACCCCCAGGCGGTGCGACAGGTCTCGGGCCCTCAGGTCGACAGGTCGGGCCCCCAGGCGGGACGGCGGGCGCCGGACCCCCAGGTGGAGCGGCGGGCGCTGGACCCCCAGGCGGAGCGACAGGTCTCGGGCCCCCAGGCGGAGCAGCGGGCACCGAGTCACCAGGCACGACAGTGGGCTCCGAGTCAACTGGCATGACCGCTGGCACTAGGTCAGACATTGGATCGTCTGGCTGGACAGCGGGCATCGGGTCACCAGGCATCAGGTCATTTGGCTCGACCGCGGGCACCGTGTCATCTGGCAAGGCAGTGGGCTCCGAGTCAACTGGTATGACCGCGGGCACTGGGTCAGACATTGGATCGTCTGACTGGACAGCGGGCATCGGGTCACCAGGCATCAGGTCATTTGGCTCAACAGCGGGCACCGCGTCATCTGGCAAGGCAGTGGGCTCCGAGTCAACAGGCACGACAGAGGGCACCGGGTCATCAGGTACCGGATTGTCTGGCTCGACAGCAGGCATCGGGTCACCAGGTATGACAGCGGGCACTGGGTCACCAGGCATCAGGTCATTTGGCTCGCCAGCGGGCACTGCGTCATCTGGCAAGGCAGTGGGCACCGAGTCACCAGGTACGACAGCGGGCTCTGAGTCAATTGGCACGACAGCGGGCACCGGATCAGGTACCGGATCATCTGGATCAACAGCGGGCATCGAGTCAACTGGCCTAATAGGATCGTCAGACTGGATCAGTTCATCATGCTGGGTAGAGGCATCAGGCTGAAGAGAGGCATCAGGCTGCATACAGGCATCAGGCTGCGTAGAGGCTTCAGGCTGAGTACAGGCATCAGGCTGAGTAGAGGCTTCAGGCTGAGTACAGGCATCAGGCTGAGTAGAGGCTTCAGGCTGAGTACAGGCATCAGGCTGAGTAGAGGCATCAGGCTGAGTAGAGGCATCAGGCTGAGTAGAGGCTTCAGGCTGAGTAGAGGCTTCAGGCTGAACCACGGAAGGCAGGCTCACCGGTTTGGATACTGGCAGGATGGTATTGGTTGGAAAGAATTTTCGCTTTTTTTGGTTTTAACTACTGGAGCACTGCAAGTAAACGCAGGTCTGCAAACTAATGGAGCAGCTGGAGACAGAGAAGAACTGGAGGATGGAACAGGAGAGGGAGCAGTTGCTACAGAGGGCTTTTTTACAGGGTTAAAGGCAGGATAGGTGCAGCGAGTGGGAACAGGGTACTGACATGCGGTAGATAGCCAAGTATACTGGGCTGTAACTGGAGGAGCTGTTGGGAATACAGGAGTAGAGTTAGAAGCAGGACTGGGTTTTTGTAAGCTGACTGAGGCTGGGTGCAACAAGTCTGTCCATGTCTGCAGTATGGGTTGAACAAAGCTGAGCTTACACAAAGCCTGTCTGGTCAATGACTGCACTGCGTTTATACAATCTCTTAGTGTCTGTGGTGAACATGTGGAATAACGCTCCAGAAAGTAACCCACATCATCCTCTAATAACCACACCAGGGACTCAACCTGGTCTGCACTAAATGGTGGCAAAAATTCATCCCTGCATTCGGGGGTACCAGATGAAACCAACTCTGCACAAACCTCAATCAAAGGCTGCACCTCAGAGAACTCTGTGCCCTGATCTACTAGAACATGAGCGAGCCGTATACATTCTAGCAGTTCACCCCGGGTATACTCCTTCAGAGTTTGATAAGCATACTCCCTGTCATCAAACACTAGCAGAGATAAATACACAACCTCATCCAGATCCATCCTTCCCATCAACAAGCCAAGATGGCTTCCCTGTGCAGCCACTTCTGGTCAGGATTGGCCTTGGTGTAATGTCAGGGCTCCCAGGTGTGACCAGAGATGTGTGACTGAAGCAGGGAAACGCAGACTTAGATATGTGATTAACAATGTAATTTATTAACACTAACAATACAAACATAAACGCAGTGCAATACAAAACATAATACAGTGCAAACAAACCCAACCAACCACCCACAGATAACAGTACATACAAGCAAGCGTCGTCAGGCAGGCCGAGTCAATATCAATTGGGCAGGTAGGTACAGGGGGAGCAAGCGGAGAATGGTCGGGGTCACAGGCCAGGTTCAGCAGGTAGCAAGCAGCGTAGTACAGAGGGTCAGGCAGAGGGATGGTCAGGGTCACAAGCCAGGGATCAGAACAGGTAGCAAGCAGCGTAGTACAGAGGGTCAGGCAGAGGGATGGTCAGGGTCACAAGCCAGGGATCAGAACAGGTAGCAAAGGAACAGAAACAGGATGCAGGACAGATACAGGGCCCAGGACAAACACAACACCAAGGCAGAGTCTGCAAGTCTGGCCATCCCTTAAATACACCAGTATCATCATTCCAGGTGTTAGCTGGCTGAAAGGTTGAGTCTCTGATTGCTGGGAGCACCCGCTGGCCAGCCCTGGTACTGCAGATCAAAAGGCAGGTGAGTCCCACCATTGCTGGCCAGTCCATTCCTGACAACGGCTAACTGCATCTACAAGCGCCCATGTCCAGAAGCGTCCCTTAACGCTTCATTTCTAGATGCTGTCCAGATCCTTTTTATATCATGAAAAATGCATGCAAATTGTTTTCAAGGTACTGAAATGGACAAAATACTGAACACAGGATGTTCCCACCAAGCTTATTACGCATTGTAATGATCAGTTCACACCTCAGACTTCTCCTACCCTTGGAAACAAAAGAAATGTTTTCACACATCAAATTCCTTGTAGGGGAAAATGGATAGCACCTACAGGGTTGACCTCCTCGATATATGATGTCATGACATCGATGTCATGATATCATCACCGTTCGTCACTGCATGTGTTCACACCACTTCCTGTTTGAAGTTTTCGCACCAAACAACCATTATAAAAGGTCCTGTGACCCTATATGCACCAAGGACTACCCTGGGGCATCTGTTTGGGCAAATTTTGACCTTTTTTTGTCTGCTTTTAACCTCCTTAACATTTCTGCCTCTTCACTGCTCAGGAGCAACCAAGACGGGTGTTTATTCACCAACCTTTAACAGTTGGTCACTATACTTTTTTCATCTGGAACAATATGTTTTTTGGATTTATATATAGCCAAGCAATGGGTCTTTTCATGCTTTTGTCCAATATATAAATTTTTTTTTTTTTTTTTTTTAATTTCCTTCCCTCTCAGGTTTTTTCTGTAATATATAGTATAAAAACCTTTTGAACAATTTTGAGAAGTAGGGCTGTAGTTGTTTTTTTTTCGGAGATGGGAGATGCTTAGATTTTTTAGAAAGAAAGAAAGGAAAGAAAATTAAAAATATCTAATTGCTGATTATTTCATGGACCCTTAGAACAAAGGCTTGGCGTTTGCTACTCAATTTCATCTGAGGTATTCTCCAGTGCTCAGAAAATCTCCCTTTGTGTATCCAATCAATACTGACCTTCATGTACATTAGGTGCTGCTATTGAACAGAGTGCTATCATCCACTGGTAATTTGCTGCCTCTTTTTTCATTTATGTCTATTTTTGCTTTGTATAATTTTGTGTACATTGAAATGTATTATCTGTATTTTAATTGTTAATTGGTTGTATATTTTTGATTCCACTGTAGGCATTGTTGCTCAGTCTTTCCATTTTCCCTGAAGAAGTGGGTCACATCCCACGAAACGCGTCTTATCTTTTGATTGATTATCCAGTTTTGGATTCAATTTTATGGAAAATATTTTTGGTTTCTTATAATTTTTGTTGACTCATTATGTATGTACCTACATTGGTGTTTGTCTTGCTTACCACTATGTGTGTTTTTTTTATAATGTCATAATAAAATATGCTCTATTTTATCTAACATTGTTTATGAATATGCATTTTTATACCTATAATGGTATGGTACCTTAAAAACCCCATTAGTTTCTCCTACTAGGGTTTATTTTCTTCAATAGCTTATTAATAGCCCCTAGAAGGCAAACATTCTAAAACCCTACTTGCTTGCTACCTGATCTGTGCAGTAATCCAGTTTGAGACTTTCCCTCTGTAATAAAGACCTCTCACTGCTGCTCTCTCCTTGTACAGGGTGACTGGTCTTGTCTCCACCCCCTCCTGTTTTCCTGCAGGCAGCCTTTAGTAGGTGGAGTCTATTGGGTCCCTCCCACAGGTCTGCTCTCTGCACAGGTTATGTACAGCACAGTAATGATATCACTGCTACTTTTATATTGTAATTATTGGGTTTGTGCACTCAAACTGGATATCCTTTGTGGCTATTCATGAACTTATTTTAATGAAAATTTTAGGGTCCTGAATTCAGCTGTAAAGACTTTGACATCTTTCGGACCTCTTGCCAAAGCGACTATTTCCAATCCAGCCATATCAGTAGGCCAGAGACTCTTTTTCTATCGTAAGAGCAAACTGGCTTTTCACACTGACTGATGTAAAAAATGGTAAAGCAATAAAGCAAATGGACAAACGCCTTCCTGGGAGAGGTGCGTCTTTGATGGAATAATTCTTTTCAGTTTTGAGCAGAGTTGGTTGCATGAACAAATTTTGCTAATCTAGCAGTTTTGCCTTCAAAACTTTGCAGAAGCCACTTGAATATTTTTGCTTGCACGGCACACTCTGATAAGCCTGCCTGTCAGCTATATTGAAAAATAAACAGATAACTGGACCCAGGAACAAACTGTCAGGGAGACTTTAAAGGCCATCGAAATAATGCTTTCCTCCAGCAATCAGCATGTAATAAACATATAGTAAAACTTTAAAGCAATTTTAATGTCATGCTGAGATGTAACATCTTTGGTGATATGTTACAATAAAGAAAATACAGATGCACAAGTGCATATATTCATTGCAAATTACCAGGACCTGCCAGTCATCCAAGGTAGATAGGAGAAAATGCAGTGCCGGGTATGTAAGAGGGCAGCTAAAAAAAAAAAAGTGCTGCACGATAAATAACAGGCAATTTTGAGCACTGTGCAATGTGGTGTATACATACAGCAATGCAATGCAGTGCATGACAGCAATTCTTTTTACAGGGACCCATGGGGCCACCTGTTAGGAGTGTAAGACATCTCCTATTCTGCAGCCCGCCACCCAGCTGCTCTAATATGCCAAATCTGCATGCCTATTACCCAGCAACAGGCCCTGGTCTGGAGGCAATACCCCTTCTGCTTCCGCTAGTAGGCAGCAGCGATCTCCATTAGCAAGTATCAGCTCAATGCAAACCCAGTGCTCTAGGATTCTGACAATCTTGTCTATATTGGACTGTTTTGGACACTCTGAGCCCTGACTCTGACCATAGTTAGCCTCCCTTGACCCTAGCCTGTCTCTGAATTAGTCTATCATCTCCTGCCTGCCCTGACCCCTGGATGACCCTGAATTATGCTCCAAATGCTGACTGCCCTGACCACTGCTTGGCCCCTGATTATGCTTATCATTTTCTTCCTGCTCTGACCCTCGCCTATCTATGTTTTAAAGTTATTCTCTGCTGCCTTCCCTGACCCCCGCTTGACGCTTAATTATGCTTATCATTTTCTGCCTGCCCTGACCCTCGCCTGTCTATGTTTTAAAGTTATTGTCTGCTGCCTTCCCTGACCCCCTCTTGACCCTTAATTATGCTTATCATTTCCTGCCTGCCCTGACCCTCGTCTGTCTATGGATTAAAAGTTATTGTCTGCTGCCTTCTCTGACCTTCGGTTGACCCTTAATTATGCTTACCATTTGCTGCCTGCCCTAACCCTCGCCTGTCTATGTTTTAAAGTTATTGTCTGCTGCCTTCCCTGACCCCCTCTTGACCCTTAATTATGCTTATCATTTTCTGCCTGCCCTGACCCTCTCCTGTCTATGGATTAACGTTCTTGTCTGCTGCCTTCCCTGACCCCCTCTTGACCCCTAATTAT